TGTTACCATGTTAAACTCAACGGATTTCTGTTTGAATGCCTCTCCAATTGAGAGTTGCCTTGAATAAATAGGTAGATTTTTGCTCATTACATGGCCATGCCAACTAAATATGGAATATACATTAATTACAGAATATCATACCATAACTATCCTACTAACAAGAAGTTGGGCTCTCATCAAGAATAACTTAGCAATCCTCAAACAACATATTCACCCTCGAACATGCTTGGATGAATCTATTTGACATTTTTTTCCCACTAAACCATTGACTTGGTGAAGAGGATGGAGTTATTGAGTAACTAGTTCATAGTTGAACCACTTATTTATACTAGATAAAATATAAAATTATGAATTATTAACATTCTTTATATAAGTACTATTTTAAGTGTTAAGTTTCAAATATGAATATTTAATATGTAATATATTGTGACTCAATTTTAACAATATACAAGAAAATATACTTACAAGTATTAGTAAAATCTTCATTCTTATTGAATTGAACTTTATTGAAATCAAGCTAATGATTGTGCAATAACAAACACATAGTACAAGTTGAAAAGCATCTCATTTGTGAATTATATATGAAGTTTTTTAATAAAAGTTAGTTATATTAATCCAAGAGATAATATATATGAGCATAACTATTTTGCTTTTCTTCATAGTAAAACAAAAGGCCAAAATATTAAATTACAATTTATTTATATAGCCCCTGTTTGAGCCCCATTTTTTTTTTTTTTTGCCCAAATGCATTTTGGAATAGTATTTTATTAGAAAATATGTAGTTAAAAAATAAGGAAAATTTTTCGGTTTGCATGTAATATTATTTTATGGAAGAATGTGTAGTTGAAAATGAGTTTTGAAAAAATGGGTTTTTGAAGAAATAGAGGCCAAACATAGGTATAGTATGTCATAATCTTACATATGTGTTCTACTTAAGAAAGCAAGAAAATGACTCAGGATTGATGGTAATGTACCTTAATACAATAATCACAGTTCAGTAGTTTTTTCTCTCAAGTAACTTGTTACTTAAGAATGCAAGAAAATGACTCTGGTTTGATGGTAATGTACCTAACTACAATAATCACAGTTCAGTAGTTTTTTCTCTCAAGTAACTTGTTATGGCGCCTCCAAGAGATGCAAAACCGATCAAGGCACTGCGTTGAACAAGACTGGCAAAGTTAACCAAGTCACAGAGTTTTCGCTTTGATTTGTCAATTCGAAATGGACTTTATGGGACCCCCTAGGCCACTTTTATTGGTTATACAATGAGTCACGGTTTGAAAAGCGTTTCCATAAACGCCAAATCACAAGTCATCCCAAAATCCAAGTAGTTCTAAAATTTTCGTTTTATCTTCAAAGCCATAATTTACATTTACTCTTTCATGTCCCAAGTCACACTTCCCAATATAACTTCAAATCTCAGGCGGCAAAAACATGATCTTGACTAGTAGTTATGAGATAAATTCATTCATGTGTTTCAAAATCATTTCTTCAATCTATTCAACTTCCATCACCTCATATTTTTAAGCCTAATTAATGATTATTATTCCTACACCGGTTCGGCTCTCTTCTTTACCTAATTACCATATGCCAAAGATCACAGGCATAGCCCACCTTTTCTAGTCCTTTCACCTACCTCTTCCCATTTCAATTACACTTTATCTTGACTTTTTGCTTGACAACCTCAAAAATAGCTCTTTTTTCCAACTGTAGCGACAATATTACGAGTAAAATTAAAAAATGTCAATGTTAAGGATTAATACAGGAATATTACTTCCGACAGATCAACCTGTATGCCTCATTTCTTCTCAGAATGACCAAATCCAGTCACGTGTGTTGACCTATGGTTGACATCTCGTTTTGATTATCACAAACAAATTATGTTTATTACTAACAAATTGATTTTAAGTGTCTCTAGTGATTATTGCACATAAATATATTTGATAGCACAAAGTTCAAGACCAAGTAATTTGCATACAATGGCCAACGTGGAAACAAAATCATCAAGGTAATGAAGACTGATATTGCAAAAAGATGCCTCAACGAAAATCGAGACAAAAGTTGAAACACCGTCAAGAAGCGCCATAGTTTGAAAAAACGTAAACGGGTACCGAGGCCTTTTTTTGTAATGAGGCGAGGCGTAAGCCTCAAAACCTTTTGAGGCGTAAGCCTCACCACAAACAAAACAGGTGCAATTTGCCGAACAAAATAGGTGCAATCTGGTGACGATGCACTGAACAAGAAAAAAGTCAAGTAAAGTCTTACTTAAGAATGCAAGAAAATGACTCCGGTTTGATGGTAATGTACCTAACTACAATAATCACAGTTCAGTAGTTTTTTCTCTCAAGTAACTTGTTATGGCACCTCCAAGAGATGCAAAACCGATCACGGCACTGCGTTGAACAAGACTGGCAAAGTTAACCAACTCACAGAGTTTTCGCTTTGATTTGTCAATTCGAAATGGACTTTATGGGACCCCCTAGGCCACTTTTATAGGTTATTCAATGAGTCACGGTTTGAAAAGCGTTTCCATAAACGCCAAATCACAAGTCATCCCAAAATCCAAGTAGTTCTAAAATTTTCGTTTTATTTTCAAAGTCATAATTTACATTTACTCTTTCATGTCCCAAGTCACACTTCCCAATATAACTTCAAATCTCAGGCGGCAAAAACATGATCTTGACTAGTAGTTATGAGATAAATTCATTCATGTGTTTCAAAAGCATTTCTTCAATCTATTCAACTTCCATCACCTCATATTTTTAAGCCTAATTAATGATTATTATTCCTACACCGGTTCAGCTCTCTTCTTTACCTAATTACCATATGCCAAAGATCACAGGCATAGCCCACCTTTTCTAGTCCTTTCACCTACCTCTTCCCATTTCAATTACACTTTATCTTGATTTTCTGCTTGACAACCTCAAAAATAGCTCTTTTTTCCAACTGTAGCGACAATATTACGAGTAAAATTAAAAAATGTCAATGCTAAGGATTAATACAGGAATATTACTTCCGACAGATCAACCTATATGCCCCATTTCTTCTCAGAATGACCAAATCCAGTCACGTGTGTTGATCTATGGTTGACATCTCGTTTTGATTATCACAAACAAATTATGTTTATTACTAACAAATTGATTTTAAGTGTCCCTAGTGATTATTGCACATAAATATATTTGATAGCACAAAGTTCAAGACCAAGTAATTTGCATACAATGGCCAACGTGAAAACAAAATCATCAAGGTAATGAAGAATGATATTGCAAAAAGATGCCTCAACGAAAATCGAGACAAAAGTTGAAACACCGTCAAGAAGCGCAAGTCAAGATGTTCAAAACAAAATACTTAGGCTTATTATATGTAAAGGTAAAACATTTTAATACTTGACAACGCATCATGACAAGCTCAAAGTTTTTATTTTACAAATCACGACTAAAAATGTTTTACTTGAAAATTATGTTTTTCAAAAGTAAAATCATAACACATATTTTAAATATGACACACACTTTGAAAAACATTTTAAATGTCCCTCAAACACTTACATTTGACAAGATTTAGAAACGAGGACGTTTCGAGCCAAAAATGGCATACCGGACGTCCGGTATGGCCAAAAATGGCGTACCGGACGTTTTGCAAACGATCCAATTTTCTGACAAAAAAAAGGGCTAATTGATCGTCCGGTATAGTGCGTCCGGTACGACATAATTTTTGACTGTTTGTATGCTATAAATACCTCACTATTCCTTCACTCGCAAAAATAATTCTTAAGCATAAAAGTGAGACTTTTATTGATCACAACTACCCTACTCTATATCTTTAAGAAGATCAAAAGCATTAAACTCTTGAAAAACTTTTGAGTGATTAACTTTGTGAAAATCCTTAGTTCTTCAAGAAGTTTTTCATATCAACACTTCGAGCTATACTCATTGTCATCTATTGAAGTGTTTGCCTCTTCTCTTCTTGTCATCCATCTTGATTCCATCATTCAATAAAAAGAGAAGATTTCACTTGTAAATTCATTTTGAATTGTGAATCTAAAAAGCTCAATATTGTAAAAGGATCGGTGCTCCTTGGTTGTAAGTCACCGGAAGCGTTGTAAATGGTTGGATTGCACCACAAGTCAATCAACATAGTGAAAAAGGCAATGCTCGTGACGGAGAGCTTGGTAACGGGGGAAGTAGATCATTGGGTTGGGATCAAACCTCCATAACATATCGTTTGCACTCTCTAACTCTTTACTTAACGTTTTACTTTGTGCAAGCTTATATCATACCATCTACGTGGTTATTTTCATTTAGTTTATTTCTTTATCATTAGTTTAAAATTTTGTAGTAGTTAACGAAAAAATCTTAAAAATCAATTCACCCCCCCTCTTGGTTAGCTTATCTTGAGTTTACAACGTGAACTAAAACTCTTATACTATTTAATTTTCATACAAGTGGTAAGTTTTTTTTTATGATATGGGTTACCAGCAATTTATGATTAGATATTTTTTCCAACAAGTTTATTATCTTATAATCTAACCATGTCGATCCTAGCCTTGCATAAACCAATGGGGATGACTTTTTAATTCATGCCTTTATTTGGGGTGGGGTGCTTATATATCTTAATTATGCTCTTCCTTGCCATAACTCCAACTATCTTTTACTGTTAAAGGGTTATTCCTTTTGAAGAGACATAACAAGCTGAGATATTGAAATAGCTAAAACAAAGAGTAGATATCGTTCTACATAGAAACGCTATAATAAAGATAGCCTATTTCGAAGTAGACCAAAGAGAACCCAGGGCATGGTCTCTATTGTTTCTACTATACTAGATTATAACAAAAACTGAGACTAAAAGCGAACACGATAAGCCCGAAAAATAATAATGAATAAATAAACATACGCTCACAGAAAAAGAAGAAAAGAATCCAGGTTAGGCATGTCCACACACATAAATGCAACCACGTGCTACTTCAGTAAGCCAACAAGGCGACAAGAAGTAAACTAAAATACCTTCAGTTTTTTGTTGTTTTTTGTCTCTGTGTACATTTGAATTTCAATTGCATATACTTCCAGCAATTGTGTCCCTTTTTTCTGATCATCTGTGCCATCTTCTTTTTTACAAGATTTGTGGAGCTCCTTCAAAATCTAATTAAATACACTGAATTACATTCATTATCCACGGACAAAATTGGTGAGCTTTCTACAAAAGAAAACAACCTTGCTCATCCGCCCATATTCACCCATATCAATCCATATCTTGCAAAGCTTCAGATTTGTTTTGAACCACAGTCTCTGCAAAGAAAGGTCGATCAGGTCTTTGAAAAGAAAAAACACAAAAAGTTCCGATATATGATAAAGTTATGACCTCATTTTTTGCCTCTTCAAGAGCCTTTAAAGTGGTCTGATAAAACTCTTTCAAGAGGCTAAAGTTCTGACCAGCTGATCCAGAAATGAAATCCATTATATTGTTGATGCACTTCTCACTGTAATTTCTAGTCACTGCTGATTTGATGTAAGTTAACATATCTCTATAAGCATCCATCATTTCTTTGTACTTCCCTAGCTTATAGTACAGCTTAACAGTTTGCTTTAAAGCTTTGAATCCCCTGAAAACAAAAACAACAAAAGTGTTCAATCACGCCAAAATTAATAAGAAATGCATGAAATGGAGATAAGCGAGCAAATTAAACTGAAATGGTGAAAACAACCTATCAATTGTAAGTTAAGATCTGAAGTAGTTGATTACATAATTTTTCGTGGAGAAACCCAATAGTTCCCAACATAGATGGCAGCTTGTTATCTTTAATATTAGAGGAAGGAAAATTTTCCTTTGTAGCATGCACTTCAGATAAAAAAAGGTTAGAAACATGTATATTTCTGATGGTTCTTAAAGACGAGAATCACAAGGATCTAATTACTTTCATCATGAACAAAATAAAAATGCCTATAATGAAAGATGTCATATAGTAGCAGCTGCTTAGTTCTGTACACCTGAACACATCAATTTCCAACATTATTCATTTAGTGAAGACTTGATACAAGTTTAGCAGCAGTTTGTAAGTGTATGCTTTCATTCGTACCTCCACCATGTATCTTCATTCATTTTGATACACAATGTCATTTTAAATGATAAACTCTGTCATCTATCAATAGTATATGATTTTAAAAACTGCGATGGACATTTGGGATTATCCTTGATACTGTAAGGATCATGGTGAACAAAAATTTTAATAAGGCAAAAAACCAAAAGAAGTGCTTGTTCAATAAAAGTTGGTGAGATATTAATGCATCTTACAGCTATCAAATTATGCATATTCCATGATACTAAATACGAATCGTGTTAAAAGCCCATTCTCTTCCCATAATTGGGAAGTGTCAACATTTAATCCAAATGGGCCACAAACCTCTTTACCAATAAATATCCTTCTTTCGACCAAAATACCATATCTGAAAGGTGAATCTATATCCACCAATACGACTCTATAAAATGTGCACTTACCAAATATAAGACCAGTAGCCTTTGAAGTGCATAAAAAAAAAACATGCTAGACATTTATGTCCATTACGATATACGGTAAATAATCACAAAATTAACTGTTTCGACTATTTCCTAAAGAAAACTATCGACAAAGCTGTATATCATCCATGATTACAAGCATCCAAATATTTGCTGAACTAGTAATACTTTGTCAGGAAAACATTAAATTTTGAGAAAAACTCACCACTCAGCCTTGTCAGGTTCCATCCGCACAACTTTGGCAAAAGCCTCAAGCGCAGCTTCTGGATCTGTTTCAACCGAGCCTGCAAACAAAAAACATATAAGAAATGTTTAATCGGGTTACAAATGACAAAATTAGATATCATGGAGAAATCAATTGAAAAATGCCATTCACGGGAGGCTCGGAAATTTTTTTCAAGTTCTACAACTTTGCTAAAATTTTGAATGAGGAAGAACACAGAGGGAAATTCATTTTAATATTGATAAAAAAAATTCTCAAAATAGTTTAACGTGTTTTGCCTAATTATACTACGCTCCTTCGTTTAAAGATTTTGAACACACAGAGAAACACGGTGTTACAGAAATATCTATTGTCTGTATACATACATATCCTACACATACAACCTCCACGAATTAATAAAAATAAAAATAAAAAGGGCAAGGATTTATGGAACTCAAAATGTGAAGTTTATTTATAAATATAAGAGCCATTATACAACTAAAATCATTGATAAAAATAAATAAATCCGATGAATTATGTTAATCAAACAATCGATTCGGGGAAAATTAATATAAACCTTTTGAGTTATAATACTGATTCTCAATATCGACGTCCTGTTCCTCGGGCTCCTCATCCGAATACTCGAACCCGTAATCCTCTATATCAGCATCTGCTCCCACATACAATTTATCAAAACGTTCATTAGGGAAACTCCCAAAAAAAAAAAAGGGATATACTAACCTAGATACATGTATATATACATATAGAGAGAGTATTACCGGAACCCATGGCTGAGTTGTGTGGAGTGTGATTCCTTTCGTGCAGAAAGCAAAAGAAAATGGGAGATTTATGTAGAATAGTAAATATTGGAAAACGCTACCAGAAGCTGTACAGAAAAATAAAAAAGGCACGTGAAAGGGGCGTGCCTTATGTTGGCCAAAATGGAGGGATTTCGACCTCCATTTTCATTCTTCCTCCAATCGCGCTCCTTTCAAAGAAGAGCAAAATCCTCAAATCGCGCCCCTTTCAAAGAGCTGATATATTTTGTCCCATCTCGTTGTGAAAACACTTGAACCCTCGATTTTCTGGGATCGTCTTACCCACTCGATTTTGCAGCCTCCAAATTAGCTACTGCGAAGCTGGACGGAGCTTATTCACAGATCAGAAGCTGAAAATCGTACTCTTTGTTACAAAATTAGCTAGCAAATAAAATGAAATCAAGGATTTTTGAATGATTTTTCAGTTTAATTTTTTTCAAATTTGAGGCCGAAAAGAAAGCGCCTGTTGACGTTAAATGAGTTTTGAATAATATGCATTTTTCAGTTTCATTTTTTTCACAATTGACTGAGAAGTTTGAAAAGAAAGGGCCTGCATTACAGTGTTAATTATCCACTTTTGTCAAGAGTTCAAAGATTTAAGAAGGGAGGTAGTAAAACCCAGATGAAATGAGTGTTGAATGATTTATCAGTTTCACGGTAATGATGATTTGGGTGCATTGTAAATGTGTTTTAGACAAAATTGAAGACATAAACTTTTTTCTCCATTTCATGTTATTAATTTATTTGTAATCTGACTTGATGTACTTATATTGTTTTAGTTTATGAAACAATGGAGGGTATGAATGAAGACCCTTTGCTGGGTGCCGATAGTGTGATAGTGGCGAACAATATAAATATTGTGGAGGAGGAAACGTTAGGAGAAGATGGGGAGAAAGTGTCGGAGGTGGGTATGACGTTTGATAATGAAAACCAGGTTTTGGAATTTATAAACGATATGCGTACACCGTAGGGTTTCCAGTGAGGAAAAGGAACTCTAAAAAGGGGGATGATGGAGTTGTTAGATATGTGACATTGACATGTAGTCGTGAAGGACGAAGAGGTAGTAATTCAAGCACGTCGTTGAAGCCGCAACCAACGAGTCAGATTGATTGTAAAGCGAGGATAACTGCATCGTCAGACGATAATGGAATATGGAGAATAAACACCGTCCACCTCGAGCACAATCACAAAACAAGCCCCTCGAAGTCAAGATTGTATCGATGCAATCGAGGATTGACTCCAAATGTGAAACG